AATTAAGGTTTAATGAATAAAAGTGTAGCCCTAGGGACCAGATTATCAAAAAGCCAATCTAAATCTCAAACCCCAGGATCATCAAATATTAAGTTTTGGAATTAGGATTGGAATATTTCTGACATTAGAGTCACCAGAAATAGTAGCGGTAGAACCGGCAAGCTATACCGGGACGCAGCGTGTGAGAGAAACACTCAAGTAAATCTTGAGTCTAGTGAAAACACAAATAAAGACCCCGTTCGGTTCTCTCAGACTAAGGACTTTTCTTAGATCAGATAACCGTACTTGAGAAGAGGTCTATTGTATCCATTGGCTCGCACCTTCAGCTGCTCTCCATAACTACACTTTTTACAATATTCTTACTTAGATAAGTCAACAAGAATCCCTACACACTTACGATATTAGACTAATAGGTGAGAAGAGATTCATTCATATCTTGAGGAAGCGCTGGAAAGAATTCACGGTTTATTACCAAGAAAATAAGCTGACAAGAAGCAGAAGCAGAGAGTCGACTTTCAAGGAAAGAGCCGAGGTGCACGGCTGCTAAAGACAGAGAAGCAAAGAGGAGCGAGAGAAACGAGCTCCGCAACAACAAAGGGCCATGTCACAATTAAGGTAATTAAATCGTGTTCCAGAAGTAAGCTGGACATGTGTCAAGGTGTTACAAGCTGTATGGTGAACGTTTGAGGAATCTAGGTGAGTGAAAATTAGAAGTGTCACTGTGATTGATTAATCAATGTTGGGGATTTTCGGACAAGAAATTACACTGATGTCAGGGGCACCACACTCCAACAAGAGGTAAACTAGCACCAGGGCAATACACTTGATATCAGGCATAACACGTCATAGGAACGGATTGAAGCAGTGAGAAGTGAGTTTATTAACTAACGAGTCTGAAGATAGAGTGCTAAACAAGCAGCTTGTAGTAATCAATGTTAGCACAACCTTGACCACAATCTCAGGAGGAAAAAGACATTCAGGACTGATAATAGCAAAATAACCAGCAACCCAGAAATAATAGTTACAAGAAACATCCTACAATCAAAAGTCTAGCATAGGAAGACAGACCATAGTAACAGAGACTCACATACACAAAAGAGAAGAGTAAGAAACCATTTCAGGCATCTACTTGTATTAGAAAGGCATGCACATGTCACAAGCATATAACACGATAGAAGAGTGTCTAAACACGGAATGACTAAGGGTAACAAAAGCAATAGATAGTTATTTTAAGTAATTGTACTTGCTTAAGACTAGATTGTGGTCATAGGAGAGATAAACAACATCTCAAGATCTAAAGTAATCACATCCGATCAATCAGGATACATAGTCAACAAGCCACTTCATAACATACACGAAGCAACTTCCATCGACGAAGCATTCTCAATAAAGGAGAAGAAAGAAAATATACAATAGAAGAACAAACACTCAATCATTGAATAAGAGAGTCCAAGAACAATCAGATGCGCACAGCATTAATCAAATGATTGAGGAGTTTCAAAGATTGAATCACAAGTAACAGTGTGTAAAGTGTTCATAACTAATCATAAAAACAAGTCGCGCGATAGTACACTATACATATCAAGCCGTTACAAGACGGAACACGACATCAGACACCAAGATTCATCAAATAAGCAATTCATACCAGAGACAAGTGTCAAACAAGTGACATCACTGTAACGAACAAATTCATGAGATCACGAAGAATATAGCACAGCAGTGTGACACACAATAGCAATCACATCATTTATAAATACATAAGAAAACTTGGACACAAATCTCTAGCATCTGATGTTGTGTAGGAACAATTCATTCCGTAGCACGCTCGCCTAAATGATACACAGGAATAATCCACTCCAAATGGTACCTAAGAAGAATCCACTCCAAATGGTACCTAAGAAGAATCCAGTACAAACACAACGTCAGAAATGAACGGAACTAGCTTAACAAGTTAGAAGCAAATTAAGACAGACATTGGTGAAGGATAAGAATAGTCCATTCCGCACACACATCAACAGCACGTCCAAGATCGATCGAATCACAGAAAGATCACAATAACACAATTAAGTGAGCAGGAACAAACCATTCCACACACAACACTAGAAGCATTTCCAGTTCATTAACCAAAAATGAGACCGAAATAGCAGGTGAAGTGACTCGAAGGTGCTAAGCATCAGGAGTCAAAGAAATCTCGTTGTACCAACACACACAAAATGCACAGGAGATCAGACTAAGTCCGCAAACCAGAGATCAACAAAGAAGCCTGCAAAGCGCAAAAAATTGGTCCATGACTGGGCATCACACAAGTAACGAAAACAAAGGAAACCATCAAATAAGTTCGATACAACAGAGAACATCTCTGGTAAAGTCAATAAGAACAAACATTACAGATACCACAAACATACATAGCAAGTTCGGTACAAGAAAATACATTCTCAGTGGATCCGAACATCTAGGGGTGACGTCAACAGGACCGAACTTTCCCAGTGACGCCACTAGGACCGAACTTTCCCGGTGACGTCACTAGGACCGAACATCCCATTAAAATCACAAGATAAATTAATTTCTCATAATATACAAGTAAGTCCACAGGTGACGAAATAAGCTTGACTAGCAAACACCGTTTAAACCTTCGTACCACTCAGGACGGTAAACACTTCCTGCGAAAATGTAGCAAAGCAAGACCACAATACAAGTAAGTGAGATATATCACAATTTTATTTATTTTATACGAGTTACTACTATAGTTAAAGGGGATGAAGCGCACATTCGCACATAGTTCAGCAAGTATATTTCACTAATAACCCGCAATACTCACACACCATCACAGACAACTCAAGATGCCGACGGCAACCAGAGCAGGCGTGTATGATAGCGAAGAAGGGAGTGATGGCACGGATGGTGCAAGTGCCAGCCCGATGGGGGGGACAAGCCCAGGCAGTGGCTCCGGCCAGCCTACACCGGTTGGGGTACCCATACTAACTTCAGCAATGCGTCAAGAAATAGACAAAAGTATTTGCCAAAGCAACCAGGCCCTGGCTAGTAGGATTGTTTTCAAATTGGAACAATCAACATCAGTGCCTATACCGACTCTACATAAGATGAGAGTAAGCATTCATGACCAACAGCCAGAACGGTGTATGCCACTCGTGGATGCGGAGCTCAGACGACGGTATGATTTAGCTATCAATGAGTGTGGAGACGATGATGATGATGAACTCTTTCAAATAAGTCAATACATTAGTGAGTTTGAGCTCATGCGTTCACGCTTAGGCGACCAGATAAAAGAACCACCTCTCTCAAAACTACTAAAGACTTCAGAATTTCCTAAGCTCCCTAAAGATAGTTAATTTAGAATGGAAAATTGCGAAGATAGAGTTCACTGCGCGATGTAGTGACCTATTCCTAGCAAGGTCCATGCCATTGTGCCAATATCCAGCACTAGTGAGAAGCCTATTAGATTCCACTGATGCAACGGAAAAGACCAAGCCAGTACTCAATTACTTGAGAGATTCTGAGACACATACAACCAAACACTTCAAGGAACCTGAGCAATTCGATAGAATTATTTATGACAGACTCAGGCCTCACCCAGTAGACTATCTGTTAGAGAAGTTTCTCAATGACATGCAGAACAAGAAGATGAACGTCGAAGTGCGCACAGAGCGTGCGCATAAGACAATGGCGATGTTAGAGGAGCGGTACCGCAACTCAGACAAGGAACCCATACACTTCCAACTCCTCAAAGTTCAAAGATACCAAGCACTTATGTACTACGGACAACAAGCACAGGTGGATGCTCTCATCAAGGCAGACAAACAACCTGATGGGAGTGAGAGGCACTTATCAGATATAGAACACACTAAGTTTCATACTATGACTGAGGCAAGCATAAGAGCGGCATCCAAGGTGCAAGGAGACCGAATGCTACTATGACTGAGGCAAGCATAAGAGCGGCATCCAAGGTGCAAGGAGACCGAATGCTAAGGGAACAGTTGAGAGTGCAGAACAAGCGTCAAAACACCCAGACAATTAACCATGTTGAGAGGGGCACTACAGCTACTAACAAACGGCATAAACCGGCCAACGGTCCATTCAATCAAACCAAACCAACAGGACAAGCCCAGGAAAAGAAAGGGTCGCGTGAAGAGCGTCCATGTCCCTATTGTAAGGTGATGCCAGCCTCACATCGGTTCAGTCTATGTCCCAACAAGGCTTCGAATCAGGTCAAGCAGGCTGAAGAACGGGTCAAGAAGGATGTGCAAATAGCAAGACTGTCCATTACCACTGGCAAGGTAAAGACATTACGGAGGGTGATGAACACTGAAACAACTGGTGGGCGGAAGCAAACATGATTAACCTGGCTGACAGGCTCAATGTATATACAGATGAAGAAACGTTGTTAATAAATGCAAATGATTTAAACTACGACCAAGGCACTGAATATGTTAACAACATACTTTCGAAAGTTGTTGTACAAGTGCCAATACAACACCTAGTCTCTCGGCCGTATCAACCTAAAGTCTTAGGCGCAAACGAACGATCACATAGAGACCTCATGCCACTATTACGAAAATTCGTTGAGCAAATCCAGGTAACCGGTGTTCACGACTTCCATTTGTATACATGGGCCACAATCTGCGTACATCAAGAAGGCACAAGTCACCACGATTTAACGTGTACTTTAGTCGCAGACAGAATCAACTATCGGACTACAACGAGCCAGTGACCGCACCCAGTACAACAGTATCTTGTGGAGAGCGACTGCATAATCTAGAAGAAGCCATCAGGCCACAATTAGACAATAATGTTGCACAATATCAAGAGAAGATGAGCGCAGCATATGATCGAAAATACCAAAAGAAGTATGTAAATCTCAAGGGAGGGGACCCTGTCATGGTTCGCTATCAAGGTGAAATGAACAAATTAACAGCACCAAATGGCGGACCATGCAAAATAGTATGCAGGGAGGGCAACGGGTATCTTGTCTGTGACCTTGATGGCGAAGTGACATTTCTTCTCATTAATCTTGAAGTTTTGCTCGTTGAGTCTCTTAAGGACTCGTCTGACTAATGCGCGTGTTTGCCATTAGTTTTGGAAAAGATGACTATGTCATTTCTTCCATTACTTGTTGGAAGAATGCTGGTAAAGAATGTAACCCGAAAGGTGCACCTCTGAACCTGTATTGTTTACCTTTCCACGTAAAACTAAAGTATTTACGATGTGGTTCACATACCTGTATTTGATGGGATCCTTGTGTAAGGTCTATAGTTGTAAATACTGTAGCACCTTCCATCCTTCGCAGTAGCTCGTTAATACGAGGTAAGTGAAAGCTATGAGTCGGCAATAAGTTATTTATTGGACTCATATCTAAACATAATCTGACTTTCTTAAACGATCCGTCAGAGTTATGTTGGTCTACGGCTAGCAGTGCCAAGTTAACTGGCGTCTGTTGATAGATATTCCTATCACTCCATCTGTTAGCCATTTCTCAACTTGTTCTTTTACCACAGCCTCGTGTCTCCAGGATACATAGTTCCTTGAGGGACACTATAACTGTGTAAAGTCCACCTTGGTCAAGTCAAGGCTGACATACCCGTCGTTAAAACGGAATTTTTCCCAATCTGTGATCTTTATCTTCTTATTAATTAGAATCAGATCCATGATTTTGTTCGCAAAGTGAGGTATTAATGCCTTGACTGTGTCTGACGGGGGCTTATATGGATTCAGACAGTTATCGTCTGACTGATCCTTTAATGCATTTATGTTATTTGGTAGACCAGTTACGGTTATACCTAGAGTGAGTAAATCGCTCATTTCGACTATAATGTCGTACTTATGTGACATCTTAACTATCACAGCTTGGGTAGTGATACTCCTATCATCGGCCAGGGAGATTTTAACATCTGTGGCCATGGTATCACACTTAGAAGTTTTATCATCTGCTAAAATGAGGTGAGTCGTTTGTGTTCTCCTTTCGAATCTTTCATTAATGCAAAGCGATCGGATATACATGAAATTTCAGAACCAGGATCAATCAACGCAAGGATTTTATTTCCATTGCAACATACAGGGATTATTACACGCTCATCTAAAGATTCGTTGTATTGTCTGTGTAACGATTTTACCTGGTAGTATTTTCACTCCAACTTAATGTCGGGCTTTTTGTCACAAGACTTAGTGTGATAGCCATTGGTCTTCTCACACTTGTCGCACTTAATAAGAAAGTGTGTACAGGTGGATGCATGCCTGCCATTCCAATAACCGTTAGGGTTCAATTGGTACATGTCATACCCACACTGTGCGGCGGCACATTTCATAATCTCCTTAAATGGAGGTTCCTTGTCCTTCGCCTCCGCGCGTGCCCGTTTATTGGGTCGCGTGGATAGAGTGGAGTCGCGAGCACGTGTATGTTAGGGTCTCTCGTTTGAGGTCTGCCTGGATACGTATCCGTGATCGGTGTGCTCCCGCGGCTTCTTAACAGCCACTTTTCCCTTCGATGTTACTCAGTGTGCGGGGAAAAGGGTGGATACAGTATCATAAAACTGTTCCCACGTAAGTCGGGATAGATGAAACTTTGTTTTATGTCCCTTGTCTCGAGCCTCAGTCACGTGTTTACGTCACAACTCGGTGTACAGGCTCTCACGGTCGTTATGCCCTATGTTCTTACAGAACACGTGCACAACCAGTAACTCGTACCATCGCCACGCCGTGTCCTTTGTTATATCTGGACGTTTCAGGTCAGCATCTAGCTTCAGAATATAACTCTGAATGGGCGTGTTCTCATCTGGCTCAGCTAAAATTGAACTCAGTCCTGGGCTACGCATGTCCTTACTTAACAAGGATGTAACCAACCAACACACTGCTGGCCAGTCACGACAAGTGTCTAGCTCATGCTGGTGTCGCTGCAGGATCAAATAACTTGTACCTATAGGGTCAAACGTCTGCATTAAAGCAGAGATCCATTGCTGGGGAGCAATATCATTCGTCTCCAGCATGACCGTAAACGCATTAAGCGTACGGGTTAGCGTGTCGATGTCATGGTTGTCTATAAACTCGACCTGCTTACTGTTGGCATACCAGTTCGACTTAAGTCGACTGATCTGTCCCTTGTACTTCTGGTTTCCCTGTGGTCTTGTCCACGTTGGGTCTGAAGTAACTGATCATTGCGCTTTTGCTTAATCGCAATCATATTCGCAAAAGTATGCTACATCATCAGCATGATGCGCATCGTGGGCGATTTCCATTTTAATGGTATAATCGTCGACCGATTTGTTAAGTTCGGTCACCTCGTCAGAGTGAAAATCCTCCGCGGGTTGGTGTAGTGTTGTGCGATCGAAGCGATTAAATTCGACTTCGTTAACACGTCTACAGAGGTGTTCATTACCCCTTGTAAAGTCCATGGTCGAGACCTTTCGGGCTCTGTTCCACGGATAGTGGTTGGTATTATAACCTTGGGTGATTCATGCGTCTGGATAACATACCCAGTCTTAACTGGTTTCCGACGATTGTCATCCCAATTGGGTAAAAGTGGCGGAGTATTTCTACCTGCCTCTGGGTCTATAATACCCTCAAGGACGGATGACTCACGGCCGGGTGTCAGAACAGGCGAGTAATTAGCCTAAAGTTCTGGTGGTAGTACCTCGTAAGATATAAATACGCTGAGCACATCTGGCACATATGCCACAGGTGTAGCGCTCGAGTCTTTACGTTCTTCGGGCGTAATTGCCTGTCGACGTTCTGTCCACTTCTGTAGGGCTTCAGTCATGCTCGGAGAAACATGCCCGCGTAAGTGCTGTGTATATTTTCCTGATCTATACAATCGATCTACATGTTCAACAGTCAAGTATTTCATACGGGTAGCTAACTGATTCTTAAGATCAGTGTTTTCAGTAATTAACTTACTTATGCGCGTTAGCTTAGTAGTCTCGGACGTAGATTCGGGTTTGCCACTTGAGCTTGTCTCCTCTTCTGGTTCCATTATAGGTTCCTTCTGAGATTTGTCCTTGTCCCCTATAATTGGGGACTCCCTTATAATTGGGAACTTTTCTTTCTGAGTTTCGTCAGAAGAATGGGTTGGGGCGTCTT